TTCTCTCCTGCTCCCATTGCAGTTTTAATCAAGGGAGCCAAGGCTGACAAGTTCATTTTCCGGCGATGGATAGGGTGACAGCCCGTATTCCGGTGGTGTCTTCTTTCTTGCTATACATTTCCCCACCGATTACCCCTTCAAACCGCCCAAGGTCAACTTTACCACCCTCATCTACCACCCCAACATCAACTCGAACGGAAGCATCTGCCTTGACATCCTCAGAGACCAATGGAGCCCTGCTCTGACCATATCGAAAGGTATCCGCCCATTATCCAAGGTCCCTATCTGAGAAACATTTCATACACTGACAATCGCTCCTTCCGCCCAGTTCTCCTCTCGATCTGCTCCATGCTGACAGACCCCAACCCCGATGACCCATTGGTACCTGAGATCGCCCATGTCTACAAGACTGACCGTCCGCGTTATGAAGCTACCGCGCGCGAATGGACCCGGAAGTATGCTATTTGATGAAGTAAAGCCGCGCAGTTTGCATGCATCCGCACATTGGCACGATGTCCCCCATATTCAATTTGATAGCGCTTAAATCCCCTTCGCGCCCTGCACCCTAGAACATACGGAAATGAGTCTTTGCACTTGTTTACTTGTTTTTATTTTGCCTTGCCTTGTCTTGTCTTCGCTTTCTTTTTGCTCTCTCTTTCACTGTTGTTTGATATAGTGTCTATGAGGAAAAGCCAGTTGATTGATTGATCAGCGAATTCTGACCAAACAATTCCAACCAGCTAATGAAACTGTCGATGGGAGAAATGGGAGGAAAACCAGAGAGAGAGAAAGAAAAAAAAAAAAAAAAAAACCTCCCGAAAAACACATTTTCAATGAATAGTTATTCTGACGATGATTGATTTTTCTTTTTTTCAACTCAAGAGAGGTTTTTTTTTTTTTTTTATATTTTTACACTTTCTCTTCTCTTCATTCCAACCTCCCCGAAGCATACATTGTATCTGCCACCAATAATTCCCCGAGTGTATTGAGGCATTCAGTGGACGGGGCAAGTGACATTCAAGATTTACCAACAGCCGGGGAACGCTTCAGATTTTGCTGATGATTGATTTGGCAGGGACACAGTGCGCATTGTATGTATGCTATTGCTGATGGCTTACGTGAATGTGCTCTAGTACGTTGACCTTCTTTTTGCAAGTGTTTACTGCTCTACTGCTTTTCCGTTTTTCTGTATATTTTTTTTTCTTTTTCCTATTTAATCATAGCATCATTGCATGTTCTGGTTTTGCTTCTCCATATTTTTTTTTTTTTTTTTTTTTTTTTTTTTAATTTTAAACCAGCGTGAAAATGTTGGAGGAAGATAGGGGAAGTAGAATAGAGGGGGAAACATGGGAATGACATCAGGGTAGGGGGGGAGCAAAACCTTGAACGCGGGAGGGTCATGTCAAGTTGATCAATTAATATCTTACCACTCTTTTCTTGAACGTACCGCCTTTTTTTTTTTTTTTTTTTTTTTTCCCCAGCTCTATAGCCCTCTGGGGCTGGGATTATATATAGTAAAACTCTCAACGTCGACTGCATGCGTGTGGGTGCTCGACGGAGTAAACAGAGCCTGAAACACACCCGTTGCCATTCCAGACGGGATTCTTGCGGTTGCGCGTGGTTGAGTTGTTGCCGTATATATACGAATATGTCTATGCATCCACATGCAATTGCAGAGTAGAAAGCAAGCCGGCCGCTATTTGATGTAACCTCTAGCCGCCGTCAACGCGGGGGGG